TTCACGTAATTATTATTATATCTGTACCTATATAGGTATTTATATACGATAGTAATACGTCATAACCGCGAGAAATTTTCTTGTCTTGTCGAAGAAAGAGTGAGAGGGAGTGTGTGAGAGAGCAGTTTTTCGTTTGCAAACGAATACTTATAGGCCTTTTTTGATCGATCGTACTCTGGTAAAATAAGAAAAAAAAATTAAACATTTCGCTTTGGCCGCCGTGACGGCTATTATATAGTGGTTATACGTGTCACGTATGCTTGTCGATAGAGTATAGATTCAAAATAGCTTTTCAAGAATATAGACTGCACAAGTGGCTGCACAACTCTTAAAAACAAGTAAATTAAATAAGAAACTATGCGTATCTCATATTATATAGGCCCACCTAATTAAAAATATTACCTATTACATTGCACAATTATATAGTGATATTGAAATTTCCGTTGAACATGTCACCCATAGGWATTTTACATATTTGATGTGATATACACCAAGGAATATTATATTGCTTACCGAGCTTACCGATAATAATATATAAGATATAAATGTACAATAAGTTTTTTTTTTTTATGTACAAAAATAATATACCATTTTGCGTAACCGAACCTGTGAACCGGCTGCAATATTCAACATGTAGTTTTTAGATTGTTTAGTCAAAACAAATTCGTAAAAAGTAGTTTTAAAAAACGTTTATTGGATATATTGTATAATGTGTACTAATAATAACACTCAGTCGCAGACACGAGCTGGTCTCGTTCGAAATAATAATGATTAGCAATTTGTTTATATGGTTTATGGCGTTTATGCAGAATACACACGCGGAACTGTATCAGACTTCAACACAAGTGCATCACATAATAATAATAATATCTCAAGTGAAAATATTACCAGCCTAGACAATAATTTAAATATAAATAATTTAATAGTTTTCAAACAGACTAATTATAATTATTATGATAAATCTTCCGACTAGACTTTATTATAGTCTATACTTAACTCGACATACAGGTTATATTATTGAGATATGAA